TGTGGGGAAGAATATGCTCGAGTTGAGGAAACTTTCTTAACCTTTGAAAGTTGAGGGGTGCCATGGTCGACGACGCATCACATGACTTGTCTGGGCCCTCTCAACAAGATGGTATAATCATGCGCATCCAGCTTTACATGTATATCATTTGAATCGCAGTACATTTTCTTCCCCACATTCCCAAACGGGGTCTGTTCCTCCTTTAGCACTGATACCACTATTTCGCTGAGAGGGTGCAGGCAAGCAGGGAGTATCTTCGCTGAAGGCTCCTTTCCCCCTGCTACCATAATACACTTCTTTTGCTACTTTCCAGCTTTCACTTCCAAAAAACGCACCTCGTGGGACGAGCTGACGCGCATGCGCGTCGGCCAAATCGCGCCCGAAAAATCGGTAATGTCCCATGCGGCGAAAAAAGCCAAAACCTGCGATGTCGTCAACGTGTTAAGGAGGTATGGGAAGTTGCTTGCCGGCATTTTTGTAAGAAGTGCACTCCAGGTGAATCGAACGTTAACGGTGACGGTATCGGGCGTTCATGGCCGCGTGGGGGGGGGGGGGGTGGACGGACGCTCAAAACAGAACCGATGGTGAGCCACATTCGCCCTTATCCCAAGACAAGGAAGACATGCTGCCGAGAATACAAAACGCTCACATCCCTCACCAAGATCCTTTCGCTTCCCCCAGGCTCAGCCCCAAGTGCTCCAAATGGCTCACCCATCTGAATGTAACACCCCCAAGTCATGAGCACCCCGTATCGTACCAATCAAAGTGATATTACTATCTTTACCCGTCTCTAGTTATCTGCGCGCAGGAGCTGGCGCTGTAAGGAGTTGGTTCTCGGCGCCTTGTCATGCCTTTTTTTAGTGCCTTATACTGTGAAAGCGCCACCTTTTGACCACTTGTCATCTCTGCGCACTTCGTTGTGCATCATTTACTTTACAGCATCATTTTAACAACTGAACCATTGCAATCAATCACTAACTTTAGGGCGGATCTACAGCCTCTTCGGATTGGCTAAGAATCGCTTATCCCAGCTAGTAGACCAAAGCTCCATTTCTCCCAGCTTTGCCATAGCTTATTGAACTACAGGGTGGACCAAAAATGGTGACCGCGAGTGCGCGCGGTTGAGCTCACATTTTTCCCGAATGATTTTTTTCGTCCTCCTCCTATTGAAACCAAATATCACAGCGTTCCCAGAATTAGTGAAGCAACCACATCACGGAATGCCAACTCTCAAATTGAACCGACAAGGGGCTCTGGCACGCTGCATCTAGTATCAGTTCAAGGTAACGAAGAAGCTCTGATGGATGATGGTTGAAAGCATCAAGACATTAGGAACAGCCTGAGATAGAAAACTTGCAGATTGGTGTTACAGTCAGGGTCAACCC